ATATATTAAATTTTACCTAGTAAGGGCTTTCATAATGACATTTCCATACATGTATATAATGTCTTGGACCAAATTCACCTCCTCTCTTGCCTTGTTTTCCCTTCCCCTTCTACCTCAGTGTAGTGATCCCTTTACATTCATGGCCTTAGTTTTGTTTTGTTTTCCCCTAGATTCCACAAATGAGAGGAAACATGCTTGTCTTGTGGGACTGGCTTTTCTCACTTAACATGATGATCTCCAGTTCCATCCATTTCCCAGCAAATGATATAATTTCATTCTTCTTAATGGCTGAATAAAGCTCCTTTGTGTATATATACCACATTTTCTTTATCCACTTATCCACTGATGGGCAGGTAGGCTGATTCTGTAATTTGGTTATTGTGAACAGTGCTGTGATAGACTTGTGTATGCTGGTTATCTCTATTGTATGATGACTTTGATTCTTTCAGGTATATACTGAGAAGTGGTATGGCTGAATTTTATGGGAGTTTTATTTTTAACTTTGAGGAACTACTTACTATGTAGCCCATGCTGGCTTTGAACTTGAGACCCTCTTGCCTTAGCCTGCTGAGTGCTGAAATTGCAGGTGTGTACCACCTCCAATTCCTGGAACAGTTTCAACAGGTGGCATTTTTCCATTTGCATACATGTGTACACACTATTTGCACTGTATTTACTTCCTGATTTGAAGTAAACTGTGAGCCATTTGTTGACTTCCGTTCGTAGATTGTTTTGCACATCTTTCATTGAAGTAAGATTGAGCCTTGTGCCTGGAGGCCTATTCATTTTTCTGTTCATCTCTTGTTCACATCCCCTTCCATGTGGTTTGGGAGTATTCCTCATTTAATTCCTAATTTGTCATGTACTTTTGAGGCATAAGGATATTCATTCATTGAAGAAGGACAGGTAGAGAAGTCAGTGAATCATAGTGGAGTAATAAATTGCTTACCGTGTCATTTATTTCATAATAAATAAATATAAATTTATTTCATAATTGGAGGGGGGATGAAGCAGAATGATGGAGGGGTAGTCAAGTATGATATATTTGATATATTGTAAGAACTTTTGTAAATGCCACAACGTACCCCCACAGAGCACAATAATAAAAACAAAAGATAAAAAACCTCAGAAGGCAGAGTAAAATAGACATGTCAGGCATGGTGGTACACACCTGCAATTCCAGCACTCAGCCAGATACTATGCTTACTTCTATAATTTCATGATCTTATGTGTGTTTCTTTTGCCTGTCTCCAAAATATTTTATACATTCTTATAAAAATCTTAAATCTGTTGAGGCTCAGAGATTACTGTTTATGTGATTATTTTACTGATGTCTAACATAATTTTCATTTCCTTTTCTATAGGAAAGTGAACCTGTGATGTAGGCTAACTTTAGAGTCAGAACTGCCCCTGGGTAGCCATGTCCTCATAGCTATTGGGACCATTGTTGAGGGAAGAAGGATCGTTAGGGCATGGTAGAGGCCACTGAGACTAGATTTCTGTTTCACTATAGATATAAATGTACATCTGTTCTGCTTTTCTGAGTATAGTGGGAAACTAAATAGCTTTCATAATATCCATTCAGTAGACTCCCTATTTTTAATATGCTTAGCAAAAATGCCCTTTGTTTTTAGGGCATAAAAAGACAAAAATACCAATGGATAAGTGAGCAAAGAAAGAACTAGCAGGTTGGATTAATAGAAAAAATTGCTGAAGCTATACATACATGTGTGTATATAAGAGATACACATGACATCTGTGTTCAAGTGGTGGTATAGAAGTGACTTGAGCAACTTACAGAAAGCACATTTATTCCGTGTTGTAGAAAGAGCGTGACTCAAGAAATAGTTGATAAGGTATAGAATCCAGATGAAATAACAGGTCTATAAGAAATTGGCTGTTACTTTTTAACAGGATGTGGAGACCCCCATATAAATATGGCTTAGTGAAAGTTCTCAGTAATAAAGCATTTCAGAAGGTTTTTGAAGAGCAAATTTTTAAGATTTTGCTCCTAGAGAATTAAGGTCTAAAAGCTAGCATTAATCTTAGTCTGATGTCAAGAGCCAGATGGATTAATAATGAAATATACAGTGTTTCACTTAACTGTTTTTAATGATAATAATGGCTTAAGATTTGATAAGAGAACTGAAAAAGAGTATTATTCCCATCCTGCAGTTTTTATAATAAATGAAACCTTTCCATGCAGAATGTGGTTGTTCTTTACTCTTTCAGAGTAAGGCAATTAGGAAGTGATTCCAACTTGATTAAAATTTTTCTTCAAGTCAACTCCTTGTCTTGATTTTTCAAGTAGGAGAAATGAAAATTTTAAGTCTTTGTGTAATGTTATGGAAATGTCAAAATCAGTAAACATGAAAAAGTCACAGTGAAGATTTGAATCAGTAAATGACAGTTAAGAACCTCCTAGATCTGTGGCAAGTGAATGCAGTGATCAGCATACACCCAAGGATCAGTGTTGGTGTCCGTGTCTTTTCAAATGCAGCTTTCTTAGCAATAAAAATACTGATTGACAAAGTAACATTATCTTTTAATTACATCTGAATTTTAAATAGAAGGAGACAATGGTGTGTTAGATGTTATTAATGCTGTTTTTGTACTTCAAATATTATGTTTTGCTTTATTTTTTTATTTTCTGTGTTCCTGAGGATGCAAGTCCTTGCGCATTCTAGCTGAATGCTCCACCACTGAGCTATATCCCCAGTCCCCATATGGCATATTTTTTGTAACATTTTACATTGAGGTAGTATTATTTATTCACCCAAAGTCATTCTTTAGTATCTTTAATTGTTTTGAACTGTATGAAAAAACAAAAATTGAATCTCTGTGTTTATAGAGCAATATGTGAATATAAATGCTTCTGTATAATAAATGTGTCAACATTTTCATATGGGTAATTGATCTTTATTTCTCTCCAATACATTGGTTTTGTTTGAGTTATAATTGTTCTTTGGGAATATTTTAAATATAAGAAAATGTTTATAATAAGCAGACTTAGTCTTCTTTTGGATTTCGATATAAAATGCATTTACTTTGAGTAGATAACATACATTGCCCTGTATCTTTTCAACTCTTATTATTTCGCTTTGTTTATTAGATACTACTCATGTTTTAGAAACAGTCATGATTTTATTTTATCAAAATGTTCCTCATCCTCAGTAACTATGAGGCCATCCTTTAGTTATCACAAAAAATGTCCTGCCGTGGGGTTGGGAGGGTTGTTCTTCAATAGAGTATTTGCCTAGTATGCACAAGGCTCTGGTTTTGATCCCCAGAGAGAGAGAGAGAAAGAAAGAGGGGTGGGGGGGGGCTAACATTGAGTATTAGTAAATTAGAAATGTCACTTTATAAATCACATTATTATGGATTTAATTATTCAGTAATAGCATATATTTTGTATTATGATAATCTTAAAAATCACAGATGAATATTGTATTTCCAAAATTTATCCAGTTTTTAATGCTTTAATTCAGACAGTTGAGATTACAAGAGAAATCCCTAAATTCCCTTTAAAATTGTTTTATCATTGTTATGTTCATTTTGGTTCAAATGCAAAGAAAAAGTCAACCCAGTTTTCATCAAGTGTACTAGCCAGCTTTTATTTGTAAGTGAAAATTTTTTGAAACCAGTTTTCTTAAAGGACACCTTATGTTCCATCCTAACTACATACCAAAATTTATCCAGTTTTTAATGCTTTAATTCAGATAGTTGAGATTACAAGAGAAATCCCTAAATTCCCTTTAAAATTGTTTTATCATTGTTATATTCATTTTGGTTCAAATGCAAAGAAAAAGTCAACCCAGTTTTCATCAAGTGTACTAGCCAGCTTTTATTTGTAAGTGAAAATTTTTTGAAACCAGTCTTCTTAAAGGACACCTTATGTTCCATCCTAACTACATACCATTCTATGTCTTACTGTTCTTTAATAATAATTTGATAATTACAGTTTGAATGGGTAAATGGATGCTGGAGAAATATTTCAAAGTTGGGAAAATGGGAGGAAGAATGGGTTGTGAGGCTAGATGGAGGAGATTTGGAGAGCCTGTGCCACACAACCATTCTGTGATTAAGAATACTGAGCTTCAAAAGCCCTCTGGTCTTACGATTTAGGAATGACTCACATAGAGATGGTAGGTGAAGCTCTGGCCTTGGTGAGATTGCTGAAGAGGAGGTCAGAAGGCACCCTTCTTCCTTCTTCCCCCCGGCGTGGAATGTTCCTGAACAAGAGTGTGCTGTCTCACTGTATTTCATGAGCCTATAGCTTAAGCTTTCATACCTCCTCTCCATTTTAAGGGAGATGGGGAAAAGTTGGTTGATCCTAACTGTGTTGTATTTTGAAACAGTCTTCTTAGTGCCCACAGTTATGAAATTAAAGCTTGATGTATAAGTAATTAATTAAACAAGATAAGTAATAATCACCAGCTTTATTATGTGTGATACAATATTGTGGGAAAAAAATTTCCTAGCTGTGGTTTATCTCTATGTTGCCTCTCACCTAAATACCTTTTTCTGTTGAATTTGTATCATCAGGATTTATTAATATTTGTGAAGAAAAAAATATACCATTAGTGAACATTGAGCTCTTAATGACGGTGAAGACTTCTTATAGAAAGAAAAGGGGGGAATGAATTTATTTATTTTTACTTCAGTTGCTGTTTTCTCTTGTGGTTTAGAAACCATAAACAGACCAAAAGAAAAAGAAAGAAAAACCACATACATAAATTTGAAACTCTAGAAATGTACATGTCTTCATTCCCTCTGCTGCATTTACCCATGTTCCTCAGAATCTGATGGAGGTTTGTTTCAGGTCACATGAAGACATCCACAGCTGCTCCAGGAGTCATGCAGAGAGGGGTGCAGACGAGGTGTTCTGGTGGAAATACAATGCCTATGATGATTAAAGAACTGTTCCTTAGCTGTCTTTTGAACAGTGTGAAGTGGAGACATTGGCATATAATGCTCTGTGCAATTTTGTTCCCCACTAGAAAGCAGAAGATGAGGATATTGTACTCACACCTGATGGCACCAGGGAGTTTCTGACTTTTGAAGTTCCACTTAATGATTCAGGATCTGCTGGTCTTGGTGTCAGTGTCAAAGGTAACCGGTCCAAAGAGAACCATGCAGATTTGGGAATCTTCGTCAAGTCCATTATTAATGGAGGAGCAGCATCCAAAGTAAGCCAGGTTTATCAAGCATATGCCCAACTAACAAAAATGTTTAATTTCCACCCTGTTCCTATTTTGGAAGTGTATTCAAGTAACACGTTTCCTACTAATTTACAATATCCCATCTCTGACCAAACAACAAGGAAATGGCACTGATACGTAATTTTTGGATTGAGCCCATCACTTCAATTCTTCTTGTTCTCACAGGATAATCTGTGCAAAGACTTAGCACAGGTCTTGGCTTGTAGTGAATGTTAATCTTTTCCCCTCTTCTCCCCTGTTTGTAAGTCACTTGTGTTTCTCAGCCTAGACAAAATTTCCTTGCTGTTTGTGAAGGGGACACTTCTCAACAGGTCTAGTAGCCTTGAATTTGCACACATCTTGGGTTGTAAATAACCTCCATGGGTGTCTCTGGAAGCAAGAAAGTGATCACTTTGTGTCCTTTGAATTAGTATGCTAGTTTTGTAAACAGATTATGATAATGACTTGGTTTACAAATGTATAATGATTGAAATAGACACAGTCTACAATGGCTGCTTAGACTGTATTATGCTACTGTTCAATTGGACATAATCCATTAGGATTAAAGCCCCCCACCTCCTTTTTGTTTCTTTGTTTTAATTTTTTTTTAACTAAGGGGAAAGCAATTTCTTTTGCAGTAGACTGTTTAGCAACCCTTATTTTACCTGCTTTCTTCCCAGGATGGAAGGCTGCGGGTGAATGATCAGCTGATAGCAGTGAATGGAGAATCCCTGTTGGGCAAGACAAACCAAGATGCCATGGAGACCCTAAGGAGATCCATGTCCACTGAGGGAAATAAGCGCGGCATGATCCAGCTCATTGTGGCCAGGCGAATAAGCAAGTGCAGTGAGGTAAAAAATAAATCCAAAGGCACTGGCCTCTGAAATTACAGAAAATCTCTTTTCTGTGCTAACATTGGACAAAGAATGGCAGTTTCCAGGATGTAACCTCAAAACACCACATATTATCTTGCAGTAGTCCTATTGTTTTGACTGTAGATTGTGTTTATTTTCTTAATTGTGTGATCAAAATATTTTTGAGTACCTATGAATGCTCCTATTGCCACCTGTTTGATAACACTGACTCACAGGGCCACACCTTCCTTCTCCTAGCCTGCAGTTTCTCCTCCAATCAGCAGGGAAGTAATAGTCCTGGGGAGAAACAACTGTTATTCATTTGTTTATCTAACATAGGATGCTTTTTACTGGTGCCCTCATGGGGGAACAGTCTGGCCTTCTACCTGTTGTTCTCCCATGAGGTGGCCAGTAGTAGGACCCTCCTCCCAATCTTCCCTTTCTCTTCCTCCAGGGAGCTGAGTCTTTTCCCTTGAGTGCCTGCTTTTCAGAGATCTGCACTGTATAATACCATGGTTGGTTCTAACTTTGTGCTGCAAATGGTAGAGCACTTGCCTAGCATGCATGGAGCCCTAGGTTCTAAGTATGGATAAAGGGCCCAGGATGGAATTAGAAGTGAGTAGGCAGGTGACCAACTTTCCCAAGTAAGTGAAAATATACCTCCTTAATACATTGGAGCATTTCAGATTGACAAATTATATATGCATAATTATATATATAACTGGAGCCCTGCAAACTAAGATAAAATTAGTAGAAAATCATGCAAAATGAAAACTATATCTAAACCATCTAATGCTTTTTAATTTTAAAACCGCTCCTCAATAAATACATAAAGCAACAGAATGACCACTCATCTGAGCCTATATTACAATGACATTTTGCAATGCAAATCTCTTGAGCTCGGTAGGTAGTCAATTAGAGGACACCAGTTTTGAAAGGACTGTTGATTTGTGCTCATAGTGTTCTTCCTTGCCAAATACAGAGTGAGCTAGCAATTAACAAATAAATTTCTACAACTCAGAAGAATGTAACCTTAACTGAAAAATCTCATAGAGGAAAAAGTAATGGCAAGATAAGTATAAATGCCATCCCCTCAGAGTGGACTGTAGGACTGATACTGTATTATTGTTATTATTGTCACTACCATCACCACTGCCACCATCATCATTGTCATTATTTGTGATGCTGGGATCAAACCTAGGTCCTTGTACAAGCTGGGTAAGCATTTTTATCGCTGAGCTACATCCCCAGCCTTGGACTGATATTCTTACATAACAGTTTTTATTATTTGCTGAATCATTGTATGTCCTGCAAAGTGCTATGTACAAAATTCTCAGCAGTATGCTTGCAGCATACATTTTTCAGTGTCAACTGGTTTTTCCTTTTGGAGAACATTCCAGAGGACAGGTTCAGGCTACAGGTATTTATTGAGAAAGTACTGTATGTCAGAAAATGTGACATCCTGGAGACACAGCAGTGAGTAAAATAGACACAGTGCCTTCACTTAAGTCTGCTGGACAACATGCCATCTCCTTATTCTCTTTAAAAACAAATGAAGTTTGTGACACCTTCTCAAAGTTTTCCTACACAGCAAACATTGATGGTTATGGGGGACTGAGAAGTCAGAAATACACTGAAGATCAGCATTCTGTTTCTCTCTGATTCCGCTTAGTTCCTTTTCTTCCCCAAACAGTAGCAAAGCAAACCTGTACCAGCCCGAACATATGTTGATAAAAGCACTGATTTTATTCCCTGTTGCCCTGTAAAAGACATGAAATTGGAATCCTACTGAAATATCTGTGTTGCATTTACTTCTACATATGAATTTATGTGAATAAAAATGGTTTAAGTAAGAGAACAGCTGCAATAGACAGTAATAGACTTTAATACTCCATATTCCTTATGGTATCATTTTTGTACATTGCTACTTATTACTATTTTGTAGGACATAGCAAGCTTATAAAGCAGTTGTATCCAAAAAATCTTATCATGAGTGCTGTGCTTTCTTTGTAATACTATCAAGAAGCCTTTTGTACTGACAGGGTTTAACTAAAGAATTATATGAAGACAAAAGAGCTCAATTCAGCTTCCCATAAGGCCTAAGACATGATTTTGCTGGTGTTGTACTTACATTACTTTAGGAAAACCTTCTCCCTGAATCACTGGGAGAGGGTGTGTAAATCATGTTACAGTAAATATTGACATAAGCATATCTTGCTGTCATGAATGAACCTCAAGCCAAAATGATGTGCTTGAGTTCTGAATTTGCAGGTGTACTAGTCAGCCATGTAATCTAGTGTGTGATAATTTAACACTGTGGTATCTTCTTATTATTTTGGTGGTTCTGGAGCTTGAATTCATGGCTTCACTCTTGCTAGGCAGGCAGTCTACTGTTTGAGTCGCACCTCTACCCCTTTTTTGTTCTGGTTGGTTTTGGAGATAGGGTGTCACTTTTTTGCCCAGGCCAGCCTGGATGCCCCAATCCTATTTTGCACTTCCCGCATAGCTGGGTAACAGGGGTGTGCTACCACACCCCACGTTTTTCTGTTGAGATTGGGGGTCTTACCAGATTTTTGCCTGGGCTGGCCTAGAACCTTGATTCTCCCAATCTTAGCTTCTCAAGTGGCTAGGATTTTAGGTATGAGCCACCAGTGCCCGGCTCCATCTCATCTCTAAATTTCTATTTTATTTCTATTCTTTCTCCTCCCTCCCTCCCTTCCTGCCCAGGGCCTTGTGCTTATTAAGCAAGGGCTCTAAGAACTATGTCCCCAGTCGTCCATCTCATCTTTAAATGAAGGGCTTACATGCTTAATTTCAGGGTAGGGAAGATGAGAATTTGGATAAGAAGACCTTTTGTTACATTGTTGCTTCCCTTATACACAGAAGTGCTGTGTATTCTTAATATGTCTTTTTTAAATTATCTGTTAACTTTCCTCACTAGGGCATCATCTAGAAGCCCAGTATTTCCTGACATTTGTACCTGTGCAGCACACTGGGACACTCCCAGGAAGCAGCTTCTCCATCTGTGTTGCTTGACCTTTCAGGAACCTTTGAGCCCCTCCTCATCTCAGAAGGTTTCAGTGCTCTGCGTTTTCCTGCTGCTGAACTCTGGTTCTTCTCTCTTCCGAAGAGTCCTTGTCCTGCCTGTTCTTTTGCTGTCAGTGCTTCTCAGGTTCTTCCTGGGCTGTTTCTTCCTCTGCAGCAGCTCTCTAGCTCTCCACTCACTGGTCATCTGTTCAGCTTACTCAGTTGGCCCTGCCCATCTCTGGGCTCCACATACAGGGATTCAGCCAACTTCCGATTGGAAATAGTTGGAAAAACAATTGCATCTGTGTCTTTATTCTTTAAACAATACGGTTTAACTATTAATATAGCATGTACATTTACACTTTTACCTACAGCAGGGTTTAAAGTGTATGGGAGGACATGTGTAGGTTCTTGCAGATACTACACCATTTTATATAAATGACTTGAACATTCTTGGAATTTGGTGTGTGCATGGGGCCTCAGAACCAGTCCCCCTTAGGTACAGAGGAATGACTATGATGCTGAACCTCATAATCCTGTGCCCAGCTCAGAATACTCTCTGGCAGCCAAGTCCTCTATCCAGCCGCCCCCAGTCTCTCAGGTGCCACCGTGCCTTCAGGGTGGAGCCAAAGACCTGGCGTCATTCATGACTTCTCAGATGCTGTCAATGTCTGTGGCTTCAGCCTCTGGAGTCTCTCTCCTCGGCCCTCTCTTCTCCATCTCCACTGCCTGGTTCTCAGCTGCCATTCCTTGCAGGGCTTCTCTGCTGCCTTGCTTTCTCACTCTCATTCTGTTCTCTGCTTTGCAGGTAGTAAAGGAGATTTTTCTGGCAATGTTGATGGTGTCAGTCTTTGATGACATCCTTCCAGAATTCTCCAGGTCTCCAGGATAGAAGCTTGTGCTCTTCATATGGCCCATGGGGCAGGATGGGTCTTCCACTTGGGTCTGTCTGGCCCTGGCCCTGGCAAAAGCTACACAGCCTTTCTATTCCAGCTTTCTCTCCATAATGTGTTCCCATAACCCTGTGTACTCCCCTTCACCCAGCAGGTGTTCCTGCCATGCTCCTGAGTTTCTTTTACTGGAATTGCAGATTCTGAGATGCCCATACTCCATGTTCTTATCTGTCTGTCACAGGTACCAGACCAGGGTCTGTGGATGGACTTCACTTGTCAGTGAATGACAAGGGACATTTTTCAAAGAGGAAGGGAATGTAGTTACTGTTAGAAGCTGAAGTCCTAAAATTTTTAACCACCAGATCAGCCAGTATTTCTGCATTTCCTTTCTCACTTAACTATATTTCAAAACAAACTAGTAATTTTTTTTTCTAAGACTGGGTCTCACTATATAGTCCAGGCTGCTCTTGAACTCATAATCTTCCTGCCTCAGCATCCCAAATACTGGGCTGCAGGTGCTTACCATCACACCTGGGTTCCTTTCTCTCCCCTCCTGTCCCCTTGCCTTCCTTCCCCTCCCTATTTCCTCCCTCACTCCCCTCCTCTTCTCTCTTCTCTTCTTTTCACAGAAATAGCTTCTCTTTGTTTTATGCTTCTGAAAATTGGTATAACTTTTTTAGAGTTAAATTTTTTACATCCTGGCATTCTTTTCTACCGTTTCAGCTTTGGAGTGAACAAAGCAAGGAAAGAAAATTTATATTACTTACTCCCAAGGACTTATTTGTTGAATTCTAAAGGAGGTAGAGGGGATTGGTAGTAAACACCTGGCATTGTTCCTTTATTATTGAATATAACCCATGTGTGAGAAATATGCTGATTTTAAAGAAATTAAAATTTGTGCAAATTATTGTAATTTAACATAGCTTCCAGTTATTTCATTATGTCTATGTTAGAAGTGATTTTCTACAAAGCCTTGTCTTAGCTCCTGGAGAGAATATTGCCAGGTGAGCTTTTGTCTTAGACCCCATTTGGAGGGATTTAGGCATCAATGACTACTTAAAAATGAGTTCTTTCTCTGGATGTAATCCTTTTAGAATTTGAAAGCTATATTAGAATAGAAGGAGCCTGATGTATCATTTGTGATTTCTCTTCATTGTATGCATTGAGAAATAAACACAGAGAGGTCAAATTGTTTTTGTAATGGCTATAAGGCTAAGTTGGTGGCAGACAAATTCAGAAGCAAGGTGTCCATCCATTTGACACAAGTGAGTGGATCTAATTGACTGTGGTTGTGTCCTTCAGGCAGTTTATATCCAGTTATGTTGGGAAGTTGCATGCAGTAGAGGTTCAAGCTTTAGAATCAGATGACACCAGCGAAATAGTGGTTCTGTGTTGTTTGTCTGGTGACTTGGGCAGCTGACTGCACATCTCTGACTCGCTATTGCTGAGTAGGGAAGTGAATGAAGTTACCTGTGGTCATGAATGAAACAGACTCTGAAACTATACCCTAAACTCCCTCTACTCTCCCCTAGAACTAACACCAATCTTTTTACCAGTTGCTTTAGGTTTACCCTACCTTTGCAATGCTATAGTATTTTCTACTATGTAGAGTTATAATCTGAGTTAAATGTCATTTAATTTCAATATTGTGTGGTGTCCTGAGTTGTAAAGGGCTACTTCCACATGACTCAGAATGCCATTTAAGGAAAATCTGAGTCCTTTACTTTTCTGAGGAATGAATTTATTAAGCTAATTATGCATCCAGTGTCAGCGTTAGGATAAACTAGAAAAGAATCTGCACATAAAGTCTGATATATCAGATAGTAAGTTCTTGCCTGTGACTAGCTAGGATCCAGTTTTAGGTCTGCTGAAGGGGATTGAGGCCATCCTTCCACCATCTTTTCCATGTTTATACTGCAGATTGTGGATCTTTATGTGAAAAACATCATTCAACCCACTAATGTACCTTTCCAACAGTGAAATTTTACTAAACCTACAGAAATTGTACTCATTTCTTTAAAAGACACCAACATCTTAATGTTTCAAGAATATGCCAAACATGTAATGAGAAACATAGTCACTGGAAATTTCCCACTCTTTATTATTAAAAAGCACTTATTTTCCAATTACAAAAGCAAGATATGATTTGAATGTCTTTTTCAAAAGCAAACTATGTTGATAATGTATTTATATTTTGAAGTTAGCCTTACTTTTTATGCCTTTGTAAATAGTTAAGATAAATACTGATTCATATGAATCTTTACTATTAATTTATTATTTCCTTAGGTTAGTTACCACATAAAGAAATAAACGGCCAAAAATCCTGATATTTTTTGACCTGTGGTGTACATTTCCAAAGTTTTAGGGAGACTGTCCCTTTATTGTCCTACCAACAGAGGTTATCCTGCAGCAATGCAGTGCTCTTATTCTTCTCTAGGCAGAAAGGCTTGTCCTAGTGGCAGAGGTGGAAGGACAAACAAGTACTTGGGCCAGAATCAAGGAAGGCTGCAAAGGACTCTTGTACTTTGAACAGCAGAGACAGTTATATTTACAGTGGTTTCTTCTTCCAATTAAGCCTAATTTTAATGAGATTTTCATGTAGGGAGTCTATGAGGGCCTGGAAGAGCATTCTTTCCAGGGGGCTCTGCCTCCTTGGGAGTGGCTGGTGGGCCACCTGACACTTTTCTCTTTTTAAAACTTATTTCGTACAACAGAAAAATCACCAAAAGACTTAAAACTGTGTACCCCAATCAGTCTTTTTTTTTAAACTGCAGAAATTAAAAGGCATTGTATGTTCTGTTAAATATTTATGTGATAGACTATTGATGTCTTTGTTTAAATCTGTCTTCTCAGATATAAATCTGGGTGGAGGTAGCTGAGGCCAACACTCTTTCCCAGGAAATTTGCTAAGTTCCTTGGTTCCTTCTAAATAGGCATCTGATTGTTTTCTCTACAAAGCCTGTATGTACTACTTTTAATGGAATTTTTACTTGACTTTATAAAATACTAAAACAGCCTCCTGGAGTTTTAATGAAGGAAGTTTGTAAAAGGATCTTTTTATTTAGAAATTTCAGAATTACATAGTTGAGCTAACTGTATTTTTAGAACAAATATGAGGATAGGTTTGTCCTCTGATAACATAGCAAACAGGACTTCTATATAGAGACTTCTATAGCAAGTGTCTTTAATGTACTTGCTCATTTAAAATCTCAGTGCTTTTTTTTTCCTTGTGGTATGGGGCATCGAATCCAGGGGCTACCAGCATGGTAGGCCAAGTGTTCTACCACCAAGTTATACCTCAGCCCTAAAAATTCACAATTTCAAAAAACAACCTTGTCCTTAAAGGTTTAGGGTATATTAGCTTTATTTGTTTTTCATTTTTACCTCCCCAGAGTATCTTGGAATTTAGGTATCATATTCTTTCAGAAAATGTTCTTTTATTTCTTTATATCAGAGACCTTGAATCTTTAATTTACTTTTCAGTAAAGCTATTCATTGTAATCTACAATTTAAAAAAAAAAACCAAATCCTCATTTCACAATTTAAATCTTATTGAGTCTAAGTCACTAGCGCTGCAAGTTTATCATTCTCCTGCAGTTTGACAGGCCTCCAATTGTAATTGTGTTGACCCTTCAGTGCATTAAGTCTCCCCAGTGCTTATCAACCTGGGAGAGGGAAGTCTCCAGTTTGGAACTTCATTAAATAGCTCATTTATATGAAACACATGACAGCTTTGAACAGAAATAATAATTTGTTCAGTGAAAGGAACCACTGCATTTGCAGTCTCGTTTGCTGGGAAGGTGCAGTCTTCTCCCATATAGCCCTGCTGTAGAGACCTGTAGGCTCATCTGCCCTAGCTGGTACAAGGCCTCCCAAGGGCGAGTCAGCAATGGGAGTCTCAGAGCCAGCCACCGGCTGTCAGCCTGGGAATCAAGAACACTGCTTCCCCTTGGAGCAGAGGACTTTCAGGGCATCACTAACATGAATGTCTTCTCCCTAGTAGTTCTGTGAAGAATTTGACTGGTAAGACAGCTGTTTTAAAGAATGCCATATACTACTGTGATTCATGGTCATAGAAATTGACCTACATTTTTTCTCATTTCATAGATTGCTTATATTTTCTAAATACACATTATACTCATATCTTTGTGTGCATCATTAAAGTACCTGCTATATACTTTCATATTCTTTGTATACTTAAGTTTTGCCCAGAACCAACCTCAGTCCTTAATCCTCCTATCTACAACTTCTGTGTAGCTGGGGTTAGAGATGTTGTCCAACACGTTTGGCTTGTTTGTTGAGATGGAGGTCTGGTTAACTTTTTGTACAGGCTTGCCTCCAATCTTGATCTCTCCACCTCCTGATTACAGACACGCACCACCACACCTGACCCTTTGGTACACTCTCAAAGTGTTTATCTCAGTTATCCACCACCTCCTCTTATTTACAGGCATATTTACATCCTGTAGGTATAAAACTATAGCTGAAGCCCAACATCTATTCTGATAAAGCATGCCTTCTACACAGCTAATAAAGAATTCTGAATTGAGCTATAACTTAACTTAAACAGATTCTAACAGTCAAATTGGAAAAGTAAGCAACAAGATAAGATTTAAAAAAAAAGCTTTTAATATACATATTTTTCCTTCAGTGGTTGAAATCTGACAGAACTTCATGGGAGGCATGGTATAAAGTGGCATAGAGAGTTACTCATTAGGCCTAGCTGTCATCACAAATTATTTTGGTACAGGGTGAAAAGTTCTAGTTCATTTGGTACCCAGTTGGATGCAGGCCTTGGGCAAGTTGTTATAATTCCCCCATGCTGTTAATGGGCCTCCAGTACTGATTTTCCCTTGCCATCCTTTCTTTCTAGCTAAAGTCACCTGGGAGTCCCCCTGGACCTGAACTGCCCATTGAAACAGTGTTGGATGATAGAGAGCGAAGAATCTCCCATTCCCTCTACAGCGGGATTGAGGGGCTTGATGAATCCCCCACGAGAAATGCTGCACTCAGTAGGATAATGGGTGAGTCAGGTAAAACTGTTTATTTCATCTTGCTTTTTCTTCCCTGGTTCACCAAGAGGTTATTAATGTAATATGAATGTAAAGGTGTTCCACATTTTCAAGACAAAAACAGGTTCGTCGTCTTCACCATGAAGCGTTAATGTGGAAGGAGTAAATCAATACATTGATTTGTTAAGTGAGTTAACAAACATGAGGGAAGAACAAAAAAGAAAAGGACCATAAAAAATGCTTTTCAGCGATCAACATATTCTCAGCTTGTTGGGAAATACTAAATGATGCTGTGTTTTTTTTTAAAAAAATCAAAATTTAGTGGTTTATGGGAAGAAGGATTCAAAAGTTTTATGTTAGTCACAGTAGCATACAGGGAGAGGAAAAGCATGCATATACACAATAGATAGGCATCTGTATGAAATATTCACGTTTATTTGCTTGTACTTAGCAGGAGAAGAATATAGTTCACTCGTATTTCTACTTTTTCAAAGCTTTATTCTTAAACTCCTGAGCCTAGTCTTCTGTGTCCTTTGTTTGGATTCCACTGCGTACTGCCTGCATGGCCCCCATGGGTAACGTGGTTATTAGCACTTGCTACAGCAGCTCAGCTTCCTACTAACAGATCCAGTTAATAAAGACCTGCTCTGCCACTGGAGTGCTTAGATTTACAGAATTGCTCATCTTGGGATTAGCATGTGAAAATTTTCAAATTTAAAACTTTAAGAGACCATTTTGATTAAAATAACACATGACAGAAAACATTTGTATTATTGACCTATTTTGCAAGGCTCTAATTTTAAGTAAAACCCTAAATTTAACTTTGAGTATGTTCAATGCAGAATTAGTAGAATTCATGTGTGCATCATAGAGTTTCATTGCAACAGAGTGTGTTTAGCTCATCAGTGGATGGTTATGGAAAGCCTGCCATTGGCCAAAGATTGTATATCTACTTTTGCTGTAGATACCAAGATGAATAAGGAACAATCTCTGCCTTCAGAGAACTTTCTACTGGGCATGAGAAGGGAAAACACGTCAACATGTCTAGTACAATTTTCTGTTGTTCCTCCTTTAATCCTTCTATCTTTCTTGTTTGGGAAAATTGCTAAAGTCTCTGTTTCTTATCTTGTTAACATGTAGAACTCAGGTGTGCCAACTCTGGTTCTATACTGTCAACATGTTTCTTTTACTTGCTTGGCATAAGAAAATCAGGGAAGAACACTTTTGCCTGTTTGTTGAGCATTGGTTAGATGTGAAAGGCATTGTATATAGTTTCTCACATTTAGTCATTGCTTACAAATTATCGCTCATCACTGCTGTTGGATTTTCCATACTTTCTTGACTTTGGTATAAAACTTTTATCTTTGTTGAATTCTTTTCCGTTGATGAAACTTCAGACCCCTTGAGAGAGAGTGTGTATGCGTGTTTGTGGCCCTGGATCTGTGTGCATACAAAGTGATACGCTGTAATTTCCCCTTTATTATAGGAACATAGGACTTGCCATACTGAATGAGACCATTGGTCCACCAGTTCCTGTAACCTGCATCCTGCATCCAATCCCTGATGCTTCAGAGGAAGGCGAAAACTTAAAACTAAAAAGCAGACCAGCCCCCCACTCCCAATTTTCCACCTAGTGACTTGTTGAAATGCTGTATGTATAGGTAGAGGAGTCCCTCTTTTTTTTTTTTTTTTGGCAGTCTGTTGCCCCAGTTTTGTTACTATGACTTTATTAGTTCTTTTCAGTTTGCATTATTGTTGGCATTGTTTCTCCTTCCCTCTGCTAGGTATGCAATAAACCCCAACAATCCAGATGCCTCCCTGAAGCAGGACCTTGCCTCCTAGTTCTGTGCTTTGTGATATACTGCACATGTCTTTTTTCCATTTGGGCTGAAGGGTGACAGACTCATTACTGTTTGTTGGTAGGCCAAATAGCCATTGTAGGATTTGCATATTTTCTTATGACAACTTTTACGTTTATTCTGGAAGTTAGGGATCCTGTATAATTTTACCCAGAGAAATGTAGATATTTAATTCGATTTGTCTTGCAGTTTGCAAACTTGAGAATGATTCAAGTCTTTGACAGTCTTTATTCTTGTATCATTGGGCCTAAGAATCAAAATGCTACTGATGAAGTTAGTTAATACCTAAAGTTGGAAATCCTATAAAAGATGTTACTTTGCAACCAAATACCAAAACAGGGCATCAAAGATAAGATATGAGAGTGCTAAATTTACATTAGTCTGTACCAATTATACTAGTATTTATTGATTTGCACTTGTGAGGGTACATGGAAATTGCTGTTTGGTCCATCAATGGTTGTCATTCCTGTGGAGATGCCATGGCTGCAGAGGTATTTACTGCACAATCTGATATGATATGAAGACAACTTTGTATTGAAATTCCTGATGATTACCTTAAGAAGCAATTAATTTTGTGCAAACAGGGCAAATTTTCACATAGAATATTCTCCACTTAAGACTCTAGACCAAAGCAAGTTTTGAGGTCTTGTGATCTTTTTCTAATGGGAACACATCCCAGGAGAATGTCTTCTAAAAAGTACACCAGAAAGGAGTAGACTTTATATTTGGATGGATGTCAGATGTCATCAGTCACACACTTTCTAACTTACCAGATAGATAAAAGAACTAAGTCCCTAATGGTTTTTGTCATTTTTTTGCTATATCCTCTTTTTTAAAAGTTTCCCTCCTGGGGCATGTCAAGCTCACACAGAAACTGTGAATGACATTCACGACATTTGTTCCTCATTTACAAATGTCTAATCTTTAAGCAAATCTAGGACTTAGTCCATCCCAGCAACTGTGGTGGTAAAGTTCACTATTGAAATTACCATAGAAATCATACTCCATCCTACTCATCTTCTCAAGGAGTTATGGACCAAAGAAACTGACTAGATTTGGACTAAGTGACCACAATTTGAATATACGGTTTTCTGGATCCTTCATTAGTCACACCTGACTTATCTCCTTAATTCTGGGTGGGGCCAGTCAGATTTGTGACCAAAGGTAAGAAGTCTCAAAATATCATCTGCTTTGAATAGATTTCCACTTTCATAGATTTTAAAAGTCCTGCATATTTATCAAAATGTCACCCATACCCAGACACCAGTGGCTCACACCTATAATCCTAGCTACTTAAGTGGCTGAGATGGGGAGTAGTGTAGTTCAAAACCAGCCTGGTCAAAAAGTGAGCGAGACCCTCTCTCAACCAATAGCTGAATGCAGTGGTGTGTGCTGTTCCATCCCAAAGCTACATGATGGTGAGGGAGTGGGGGAGAGGCTGAGATTGGTATGATAGCTGCCAGCCAGGGCAAAAAAAGTTCATGAGATTTCATCTCAATGGAAAAAAGCTGGGCATGGCAGTGTGTACTGTGCACTTGTCATCCTAGCTATGGTGGTAGAAACCATAAAATGGGACTGTGGTCTAGGCTAGTGTAGGCAAAAAGTGAGCCTCTGTCTTTAAAATAAATAGATTAAAAGGGCTGGAGGTATGGCTCAAGCAGTAGAGTGCCTGCTGAACAAGCGCACTGCGTTTAAACCCTAGTACCACCAAAAAAAAGAAGTCACCCATAATGAGAGCATATAGGATCATTTCCTCTGAAAAGCCTTGAAACTCTTTTCCAGGTGTTGGGCTGTCTTAAGCAATAATAGCAATGAGATACGAGGCATAGCTAACTTAACCAGCATGTTCACTTCATAAGATACATCACATGTTGATACTTGGGAACATAGAACCTTAATTTTTTCCTATTGTATCTGAACAATGTTATTTAAAGTAATTTTCATTTAAAGCAAAATGGAAATCTATTGTATCCATTTTAGAATTTTTCTAAGTTGTTTCTATATTCATACATTTGTGTTGAGTTTAAATAGTAATTATGTTCAGAAAAATGGGACATTAATGGTGTTTTTATTATGAGATATATCACTGGAACAGTTTTTCTTATTTTCTTTGTTTCCAGTATTATGCATGGTGTTGCATTCTATGTAAATTTAGCAATGAATAAATGTTTAGTAAACAACCATTTTGTATGTCATCGTCTTACTCTTTTACAAGATATTGACTGAGTTATGATTTATTCTGTAGATGCTGATTACCTAGTTGTGGAAAAAGGACAGTTTCTCAGATCATGCTGAGAAGGTTTTGTACTCAGAATGAGCCACATACTAGTAAACAGGTTGTTGTGCTGTTATCTTGGTGGAGCTCAGTGGATTGTGTAGTTAGATAGTTTACTTGTGAATTATGCCTTTTTATTTCTGGATCCAGATCTCAAATCAATTCCTGGCAAGCAAGCTAAGAAGTGGAAAATGGGTAAAAAATGTGAATAATCAAATCCTGCAAAATATTAACCATAGAATCATGGATGGAAAAAATGCTAAATTGTTTTCTTATTAAAAAGATATCTTGCCACCCAAGTTACAGTATTTCTACTAAGAACAACATACAAGCAAACAAAAAAAAGATTATCACGTGGACCAATCAGTATTCCATCTTTCTTATCAGGCTGTCACTCAGAATACACAATTTTATGTAGGAGTTTTAGTTTTGGCGTTTAACCTGTGTGTACTTTGATTACTCTCTGATAGCTCCTTTAGTATATTCTTCCTGGGTGAGAACTTGGGTATTTAATCGTGTGACATATTCCTTGTCACCATACGTTGTCTGCCAGGTGTAACCCTGGTTTATACAATTCTGTACACTTTTTTAGGGGAGAAATGTATGTCTTGAGAAGGAAACATTTCTTTAGCTAATAGTGCTAGAGTGTCTTACCTGATTTAGGAATTAAATTTTGTTGAACAGTGTCCTATATTGATGTCCTCAAACTCAAGTGGAAAGAAATGAGTAAGTTGAAGTCAGGAAAGGTAAATGATTGCATGTTATACTTGATTTACATTTGTATTATGAGCATTCCTATAAAACTGCTAGTTTTCATAGTTTGTCAAAATGGTGCATTTGAAGTCTAAGTAGAAAGTTTTTGTGGGTAAGATGTGAGCAGAGGTTTCGATACACATGCAGGTTGCTATAATAGAGTAGTTAACGCTAAATAACAAACATATTTGAATTTTCCAGCAAGTTTATTTTTGTGGGCCATCCTGGGGCAATGCACAGCAACTAAATTAATTCTTGTTTCTTTGCTAAAACATCTATAGAAATATATATTGTATTTTAAGGATATCCTTCAAGTGTGTCACTGCCACTTATGAATATTTACAATTAAAGTTAGAGATAAGACTAATGTTAAAATGTTAGCAAATTGCCTGTAAATTATTTTTGCACTATTTTTTAAAAAATAATTGGTAGTGAAGTAAAAGTGTACCGTCTGCAAAATGGAGTAGATCTTGAGAAAGCAAAACAAGCCTTTTGTTTGGGTGGGAACCTGTATAGTTGATTTAAGTGTTTTGGAAATTAGACTTAAAATGAGAGATTTCCTACCCTCCTGTGCAGTGGCCAGAGAAATTGCCAGGGCTCCTTGCTTTGTTGGGAGCTCTGGTTAGTGGGCCATGTCAACCGTGGAGATGTTGCTGGAGCATGACCTCTCATAAGGTCACTCATAAGGTGTCCACATGAACCAGGGCCTTGCCAATGCACTCATGCTTAGAAAAAAAAAAAGAAGTCAAGATTTTGGAAAGAAACTATAAGAAAAAGGTGATTTTGGGGGAAAAAATGATGGCATTTGGATCCCAGACTTATCTTTGAGAATTCAGGGGCTTGAGACATAATTTTGTCCCAAGAAAGGTTGTGCAATATACAAACCTATCATACTGACCCATGAACTGAGCAGGTTTTTCCTCCAAAAGAGTGGACAGCATGGACACTCATGTGTCCTTTCTTAGTAAGAACACTGTGTCTTAACTGATGTTAAGTCAGAATTTACAGGCTCCTCAGTTAAGGCCTGAATACCTCCCAGGCACTCAGATCCAAGTTCTTTTTCTTCAAGGGCACTACTGTCATTACCACTCTTCCAAGCCTTGATTCTGTGCATATTCACCATTGAATTGTCACCCGAAGACACCAGGGGCTTTTCTTTACCATGCATTAATAACGATGTTGCTGATGTCTGAGATAGATACTGTCATTTCTTCTACCAGAAAAGATCACCCCGGCTGTCTAGGCAGTCACCAGCCAGATGAACACCACGGTGCCTTTGGCACAGTTCTTGCACCGGTTGTGTGCCTTTCTCATCCTGCTTTATACCTCGTGAGCTCTCTCAGGGCAGAGATTGTGTCTCATAGCAGCTACCTGGCATGTGGGCATTACCCGATGAATGAGTGGATGAATGATTCTTGTATTTAGTGGGGATTCCCTCCACATTTCCTGGTAAAATTTTTCAAAGGATTTTCACGTCTAGCATTTTCACATTAGAAGACATTTTGGTCATTATCTTTGACTTTGAGAAACTTAAAACCAGAGAAATTGTATATTGTGTCCTGAACTACATTACCACAGTGTCAGAGGAGTGATAGACTCAAGGTCTCTGACAGTTATTTATGGGGGAAAAAAAAATGTGCTGAATTCTGTTTCATTCTGCCAGATTGAGGAGATATGTGGAAGTTTAGACTTGTGATTTCATGAAATCTTAAAATTAAGACATTACTCTTAGATTGATGTCTAGAATTGCTCTTTTTCTTTTTGTACTGGACAGGTAAATACCAGCTATCCCCCACTGTGAATATGCCCCAAGATGACACTGTCATTATAGAAGATGACAGGCTGCCTGTGCTTCCTCCACATCTCTCTGACCAGTCCTCTTCCAGCTCCCATGATGACGTGGGATTCATGACGACAGACACTGGTACATGGGCTAAGGCTGCAATCAGTGAGTCAGCTGACTGGTAAGCACCTCATCTGGGGTTGGGATGAGTTTAATTTGCATTCAGCCTTTTATTTTATGTTTTATGTGGCCTACCTATTACTGAACACAGTTAATCAATTCTTTGTAAACATTTTCCACTGTAAACAGTATAATTTTTATAGTTAATTATCACACTTTCAATAAAAGACTATACCCCAACCCTTCAAACTTGATCAGTTGTTTTAGCCTTCAAGTACTGTATTTAGTAATGTAGCCCAAACAACAACAAAACAACTACCACTCTGCAAAAAACCCTCCAGGTTGTTTTTTAAGATTTTATTTATTTTAAAACTATTAATTTTATGAATTGCTTTTCTATTAAATAGATAAATTCTAAGTAAATCCCCAAGCTTATTACAACAATTAGATGAAACTAGCAATGTGTTCTAGGAACAGGAGTCTTCATTGAGGTTTTCTTTTTTACAGTGTTTAAAATGCTTTGTACTAGCTTCCAATGTGGTCACTTTGGGGACAGTCTGTTTTTCTTCCCTTATGTCTTTCAAAGTAGAGGAAAACATTTGATATTCTTTAGCCAATATGTTGCTCTCAAATGTGGACATGGGCCTTAACCTACGTGCCTAGTAATTATATGCATCAACAAGCAAAAGGAATTCGGTTGTAAGGATGACCTTGTAAGGCTGGATTGATCATTAACACATGGGAACTATTAGACCATAATTTTCTCTTTGCCCTTTCTCTGGGGTCTTCTATGAGTACACCAGCAAAACTGTATTCATGGCCTATGTGTGTTATGGCATTGTTCCTTCACTGCTTATCCACTTACACCTCCTGCTCTTGCCCTGACTTGGGTCAGCATTAAATATTAGATTAGAGGAATCTGGGAGACGGGCATTTATTTGTGTTAACATTTTAACAATGCTCGTAATGAACTAAAACACTCTTCCCAATCTTGTCCCTCACTCCCCATGCAAACTCACAAAAATGTACTTCATTTATTTGTTAATTTTGCAGATGTTCTCTTGAAATAACTTCACCTGTTATTTAGGCCATTGAAAATTTCCTCTCTAGCTTTTCTTTCTTTTTTTAATTCTCTATTTGAAAACAGAGCTGTGCTCAAGCCTGCATGGCAGTAGCTTACCTCTGAATGAGTTTTTCGTTAAGCATAGAGGGGGGTTACAATATGCAGTAAAAACCTATTTGAAATCCACAGGTGCTTTTTTACATTGCTGCCGTTTGTATCTCTTTCTGAAAGTGAGAGCAGCAACAGAGAAAGTAAGGTTTAGATCTTTGCTGTATTCATCTTGGCACAAAAGCCTTTGAATTTCCACCATGATGAGAAACTGTGGAGGTGGTCATAGGAGTAGATCTGTTTGGGCTCTTCCAAAGCATACTGCATTGGTAAAAAGAAATAAATAAATCACAGGGATAGATTGTGGTATTAATTTCTCTAAGGGGGACTTGGGAAAAAACAAAAGCAGAAACAAAAAAATCATGAGGACTTGTGTGACTTTGCGGTGGGGAGTGTGGGGCAAAGGAAAGAACATGATTGGAGCTTATCCAAATAAGGGTGGCAGCTGTTCCGCATCACAGCAGAAAATGGAAGCTTTTCCAGTCTGACAATATCTCCCTAATCTGTGATGAAAATGTTAGGAAAACAGAAGGGCAATAAGATGGAATTAATAACTGAAATTCTAATAACACTGGGAGTCAGGATATGGTTACCTTCTTCCAAGAATCATCTGTCAGTCCTGTAGTCTGCCTTGTTAAATATTCTAGTCCAATGGTCATTGTATCTGAAATTAGTTCAATGGGTACATTAATAGGGAAGAATTGATTATGCCATGGTTTAAGAATAGTTATTTTAAGACTTATTAACTCTCAAACTCATTTGACATTTTAAATTATGTATGTTTGTAGTTTACTGCACAGTTGTAGAAGGCTATGTCAAATCACTAAACTTCTGTTTGTTAACTAATAGAATATATTTTTTTCAATTTATTAATCGATTTAAGGAACATTAATATTTTTAATGGAGAAACAGCAAATTCTAATTTTAGTGGCATCATGATTTGGAGGATATAAAATGACTTTAAAAATAGGCTAAGTGTAGTTTTTAGGCAGTGTTGGCAGTGATGATTTGTATTTCCTTGGAAAACTTTTGCCACTAATTTCTGTTTAAACTGTATTTCAAATCCATTCTGTCCACAACTTTGATGTCTTCTTTGAGTTCAGGATTTAAAGTGTTCCACATGATTAAAAAAAAAAAAAAAGAGCTGATAAGCATGGGCGAAGTGATTGATCCTATTTTAAGTTGTAAAAGAACTATTGTTATTGGTAATACATTATTTAGGGTTTGGTCTAAAAAATTGGGTGGTTGTTCTCATCATATGAGTTTTCATTTTCCACTATTTCTTTGTCTAAAGAAATCTTTTTTCCTTAGGTGCTGGGGATGAACCCAGGGTCCTTCACATGCTAGCCAAGTGCTCTAACACTGAGCTACATCCCCAGCCTTTTGTTCTTAACTGTGGTGTTTGTGCTCTGGAAATTATCAGCCATCTGTGCCAAAGCCAGCACGTAATATGTGAAAGGTCACCTGATACTTCAGGATAAACATGGCCCTACCTCTTCTTAGAACATCAAATTCATTGGAAGTTTTAGAGAAGAAATGTAATATTACATTTAAAATGAAAAGATTTAAAGCAGAATACAAACAATGACATTGATTGACCTATAGCATGGTATTTTACAAAAATACAAAACAAAATTGTTTTGGCTTGGACTAGATTCCTAGTCACTGGGATTTGTCTTTCCTTTTCTGTATTTCTGAGCCAGAGCTAAGGTTAGGCAGCTTAAATTTTGTAAAATTTAAGGATGGACTTACTGTCAGAGGTTGACCCTGTTCTTGCAAGAACTCGAGAGTAAATGCTTCTTTAAATTCTGAGCCCTACATACCTGCCTTGCTTTGCTCATGGGCCCACCCTGTATTTAGTTTGTTGGTTTTTTTTTTTTTTTTTTGGTGGGGGGGTAGGTACTGGGGCTTGAACTCAGGGCCTTATGCTTGCTAGGCAGTTAATAACTTACTTTGGTTGTTTATAGTTTACAAACGGCTTTTACCTGATATCCTTGAATTCTCTCATGGCTTTGAAGGATGAGTGGGCAATGATTCTCTTTGTTGAGCATAGTAAGGCATAAAAGTTCAAAACATTTCATGCCACTTAAAGCAAAGTCAGACATCTTTTCCTTGGTATCTACTTTTCACATCTTTTGGCTTAGTTCTTCTTTAAGAAACAGTTGTCATTTCATACACAGTAAATTGCACCTACACAATATGAATGATGATTTTCATAAGGCTGCAAAGGCTTAGAGAAGCTTGGATGCATCAGAAGCATAGGAGAGTCTGTTGTAAATTCATCATCTTTGCAGAAGCCACTCCTTCAGATCTCTACTGTCTAGTCAGCTATTAAAGGAGTGATATTCTCCTATCTGGGCAGACAGGTAAAGTGGCTGGATCCTGATAAAGGAAAGCTAGGGTATTTATTTATTCAGTGTGTCCAAAACAGAGGGAACAAAAAACATTTTCATACTATGAACTGTGCTCAGAACACCTGGTAGTGCTTTTTAAAATGTTCACAAAGTTTTATAACTAAGAGTGATTCCAGCCACTTCCATTGGAAAAACACTTTGGAATATAACCTGTTTCCAACAATTTGACATATGCTACCCTACTGTCTCTACTTTGGCCACTGTGTGAGTGTCACCCAAACCAAATGTCATCTAAACTTAATTGTGTTTGTCCTGACTTCATCATATACTGTCAGTCTTCTCACCTGTGCAACCACAGCCTTTGTTTCTTACATCCAGCTTAGCATTTTTCTATGAACTTGTAGAGAACAGAGATCTTTTCTTATTTATTATTTTGCCCTTAGTCTACCCAGCACAACACTTTTAATCAGAATAGGTACTGATGGAGGTTTGTTGAACTTAGTTCTTTTCAGTTGATTAACTATTTTAGAGAAACTACATCCACATGATGGTGGTTTCTCTCTCTCTTTCCTGAAACACAAGATAAATACATAAAGAGGGCCAGAACACATCCTTTTTTGAAACTAATACTCAATTACCATTTGCATGGTTGTGTGTGTATATAAATATACCCTGTTCTTGCAAGAACAGGGTCAAGCTCTGACAGTGAGATTTCCTCTCATATTCAATCTTTCCAATGTGTGATAAATATCAGACTCATTTAAAATAATCCCTCAGAAACGATGTATTGTCAAATATAGTGAAGAAATGGAGAGAGAGAAGTAAGGGAGAAAATTCACACACATGGAATTATTCTGAATGTTAAAGTAAATTTGTGTTTATCCATTCCCTCTCATTCAGCCACCATTTTTTTATGCACTATGTTTGTGTTATTTGGTGTAAATTTTTTCAGAAGCATACTCATACCTATATTCACTCATACAAGTATATATGAACTAAAAATTGGATGTCTTCAGTTTTCAGTAAATACTATTATGTTTATATTTCTCTTCATACCAGCTCTTTGAGTCCAGATGTTGATCCAGTTCTTGCTTTTCAACGGGAAGGATTTGGCCGCCAGAGTATGTCAGAAAAACGCACAAAGCAATTTTCAGATGCCAGTCAATTGGATTTCGTTAAAACGCGAAAATCAAAAAGCATGGATTTAGGTAGTGAGTACAATCTCCATGAATCTTTATCTAAATAAGGTTTTGATGCTTTCAGAATAAAATTGATGGCCCCAAACACATGTCTGTTTACTTTGAGCAGTAGAGAAAATAAATGTGAGATATGGCAATTTGGCAAAAATTAGTTTTTCTGTGAGTCTGAGACAACCAGATTACATACTGTACGATATGTTGATATATGCTTTCTTATGAGAAAGGAAGCAAGCATGCATATCATGCTCTATTCAAGTATCTTTACTTTAAAAATGGATATGTTTTAATACTTCAGGTATTTATAAAGCAATTTCATTGCTTTTGGAATTATACTTGATTTGTTGTGGAATTTTTGAACTAGAAGACAAAGTTTTGGAGAGAAACCATTATCTCAATCCATGTCTGGAATTTGTTTACTTCATGATATCTTCCTTTCATTGCTATTCTTTAAGGTTTACTTGTTAGAACCTCTCGTGTCTTAAAGAATTAAGGCATTTAATCAAATTAATAATTTGAGAGAATATTTATTGTAGAACACATTGAGAGCAAATGAGAGGAGAAAAATAATAGTTGTTCAATCAGACACCAATCAGGTAGTGTCTCTTTACCTCCAAATCCACCAACAAAAGTAAAATAATTATATGTATAAACTAAATGATTTTTTTAAAAAAATCCTTTGTTAATCAATCAACTATAACTTATGCTGTTCTCTGGTGGCTGTTTGTAACTTCAAGACTAAAAGCATTAATTTATCATATGCATATAAAACTTTGGTGATGCATTGCCTTGGCTAATTATGATATGCTAACATATAAATAACACACATGTCTGAAATGAAATGACTGGCATATTGCATGGAGACACTGCTTATTTTTCCCCCTTTATTTTTGATTACAAATGTTTGCTTGATGTTTCATATTATTTGCATGAAATATTACCTAAGAATTGTCACCTAACTGTAAAGATCTGGGAATGGTGGAAGCATGTTGGGTTGAGGGGACTAACTCAGCTAACCATTATACATTTACCTTTTAACAGTAGCTGACGAGACTAAACTCAATACAATGGATGACCAGAAAGCAGGTAAGAATGGACAGTTAGACTGTTGCCATAGAAACTGTGTTCCTAGGAGCTTACTGCAATTATAGAGCTGCCAATCATAATACATGTAAACATAAGTACTCCAGTCTTGCACAGATGTTTTCATTGTGAGAAATCAAATTGTATAAGAAAAGAATTTTTTTCTGTTAGAAGAAATTTATCAGTGGAAGTATAATGTTAAAAACAGCCTTAGATTTCTTATACGTTCTTCTGTAGAAATGATTTGTCTTAATATTTTAAAAAATCAAAGGCCCAGAAACACAATCTCTTATAGTATACTCATAAATTCTTATGTCATTTCTGTGATATCTAACTCACATCCAAATTTCAAGGTGGTGATTTTGATTTGAAATATAAAATTGCTAACATAAATATTTTTCATTATAAAATTGCTAACATAAATATTTTTCACTAAAGGACAGTGTTAGCTATTGATCTCGTAGGTCACTCATTGGTTTTACTATCACTTTGTTCTTTTTCAGTCGCTGATATTAGCTTATAGCTAAACCTGACATCAGATTCAACTACATAGTGCATATGGCTCCATTAGCTTTATGAACTTGTTCTAAATTCATTGCTTCTAAATCAGTGCTAAATCATTCCCCAGAAATGATTACATTGAACTTGATTTTGCATTATAGTAGGCTTTACCTTTTTGTATGAAAATAATCAGAGTAAAAGATTTTTGTTGTTGTCTTTCTTTTGGAGACATGGTCTCCTCATGTATCCCGGGTTGGCCTCAGACTGGTGCTCTTCCTGCCTTAACCTCGAGCAGAGGAAAACCTTTGTGTGTAGTTTAAAGATATGCTTTGTGCTATTGTGCATCTATGTATTATTATTGTAAGTTTGGAATCATTCTTTAATTATTCTAGATCCAGATAATGTAGTTACATCACTTAGCGCTAATTAACTTTGGTTCACCTTTCTAACCTGCAGTAGTAATTACTTTTAGCTTGCTTGAAAAATTTGCATCCCACATACACATGTAAAAATTATTGTGGACTTGGTTGGAGTTATCATAATCTGTGGACTCAATAAAAATTATATCTCATAAATCATAAGATTACTGTCTTGCAGGCCAATTAACTATAGCCTCAGCCCAAACTAAAAAGCTACTTTTTATGAAATGTAAAATTCATTGAAATTCTGAAGCAGGGATATAGAAAAACATTATTTGATAGTTCACATTGTAAAATAGGAGTTTATTTTTGGAGTTGGTTGTATTCAGTACTTTTTGAGATAGTAATCCTAAATTAATGTTCCTAAAAAACTGATTGAACTACTCAGGTAAAAGGATATGACTGTATACTGTGCCAAATAGGTCAAAATATTAAAATATTTGACTAGCTCAAAGATAATTCAAAGAAAAGAACAATTTGTTTTGCTTTAAAAAGTATTGGTTCCAAAAAAAAATGATTCCAAACCTTTAATCAAAAGGAATATTTAACTCACTTGGCAAGTAGGCAAATTTTATAAACTAAACAAACCCTGTGATTTTGTGTTTTAAAATGTTAGTTCCTAGATAAAAAGAGCATTTTTGTTTTGCAATATATGCAGCTATCCTACCAAATTAACTTAGAAAATCTTGGGACAGAAAACTATTGAATAGGCACCAAAGTGCTTTTGGGTAGATTTAAAACTAACTGTTTTTAAACTATTTATTTAAAACTAACTGTTTTAAAAACAACATTAAATATCTAAATTAAAATGTAAAATATCTAAATTAGGTTCTTCCCACCCAATATTAGCAAGAGAGCAGATTTTCAGTTGTTTTTCTCTTTTTTACTTCACATGAACTCTCAAGATTATCATGGTTTAACAGTTCAGCTCAAAAGTTTTTGGGAGAATGAGAGTGGCATTTTATTATAGATCATCTGTCTTACATAGTGAAGATTGAACTAATTTACCTTTTGCCCTTTGCAAAAGACTTCCTTCACTGTTTGAATTTGTGGTAGTGTGGGAGGAGGGTACAGCAAGAAGTGTATTAGTAAGTAGAAATAGAAAACAGGTCTAGGACTGGGCTGTAGCTCAGTGGTCGAGCACTTGCCTAGCATGTGCAAGGCCCTGGGCTTAATCTCCAACACCGCAAAATCAGGGATCTAGGGAAAGTAATGTGGTTATGATTCCTCCTTTTCTGTGTTAAGTCAGCACTTATTATATTTTGGGTACAAATATGCTTTCTGAAAGGAAAATAGAAATAACAAGAGAATTTCATTTTTAACAGTTTTATCCTTAAAATATTTTAAAAAAAGAAGCAAAATATACTAAGAACCTAAAGTAGCTTTACAGTATTATTTTTAAATGAAAATAAAAAATTCTGATTTTTTTGTATGAATAAATCTAGTCTTCACCTGTAATCCTACCTACTCAGGAGGCAGAGATGAGGAGGATAATGGTTTGAAGCCAACTGGGACAAACAGTTAATGAGATCCTATCTCGAAAATACTCAACACAAAAAGGGCTGGCACAGTATGTCAAGTGGTAGAGTACCTGCCTAGGCCCTGAGTTCAAACCCCTGTACTACCAAAAAAAAAAAAAAAATCTAGTCTTTTGCCCTTATTTTATATAGAAAAAGACCTTTTCAGTTTCCTTACTAGTAAATGCTGCGTTTATAATGCTAAGGACCTCAGTAACCTCATTTAGAAATCTTAGAATTAAAATCTTTGTTAAAGTTTCTTGGACAAATACAGTACTTCAATTTATGGTATTAAATAAAGGGGCATGACTAGGTTCCAATAAAATTTTTCACCTGTGGCACTCAGTTTGCTGATTCCCATAATAGGCTGGCAAGTTATAGAGGATGGTTTTTTGTGCTACTTTTTTATTATGGAAATTTTCAACCATACTTAAATGTAGACAGAGTAGTTGATGAACCTCCCCAAACCCAACAATTATCAACATTTTGCTGAACTGTTATATCACACCTGTAAACTGAGAGAAAAGAATAGATAGGTAAGCTGTGGGTTAGAATGATGATTTTGTATGTGGGTGATGCTGGGAGTGGAAGCCAGAGCTTCTTGCATGCTAGGCAAGAGCTCTACCACTAAGCGACCTCCCTAGGCCCAGTTATGAAAGTTTTATTGCTTCTTTACTTATATCTTTGCCATTGTTTTTCTTGGCAGATTTGCCAATGTTTGTGTTAAGGGACAATCAATTTTTATGAGTACTCATACCGTTTCTTAAATTCATTGTAAACGTTTTCATTTCTCTAAGTAAAATCTCAGCTGACTTTCCATGAAGAAAACCATTTACACACACACACTGAGTAAATGCCATTTTTATAATAATCCTGACTAAAAGCTTGATATCTTAATTGGAGATATATATATCCATACACATACATTCATATTTACATGTTTTTGTGAATCCAAATATTTGCTTAATGCATGTTGTACAAAACCCAAATACAACTGGTAAATTATGAAAATTGATGAACATAATTTATTTTAAAAAATCTTCCAAATTCTCATTCTAGGAAGTCTAAAGGTAAATACTCCTCCCCAGGAATAATCTTTTCCTCTTCTTTCTGATTCTTTGATTTCTTACCTTTTGTTTCATTCCTGGGAACAAAATTCATTTTCTTTCCTTTAACATAACTCTTTTAAGTAATTTATAAAATGTACTTGTCAAAAATTATAGTGCTATGAAGAGGAAAAGTAAGATCTCCTTGAGAGAAATATTTCATGTGTACTTTTCCCATAAAATAAATAATGAAATATATACAAACTTGCATTGAAAAAGCTTAATATATCATCATTTTCTCCCAAGCATGATAATTTATGGAATATGTTTTCATCGTTAGAATTGTATGTCTGCCTCCATGCCTATATTACCGTCGCATCCTATCTTCTACTTAAAACCACTACTATATTGTGAAAATTAGGTGAAAGATGTAATGTAAATAAATCTTTAAAAGATAATTTGTATTTTGACACTTTTGATTTCATTTTCTTTCTCTTCTATACTCTGAGCCATGGACAGCCCATGTCACAACTATTTGTATTCTAAGTAGTAACATGACAAGGCTACTCCTTAATTATTGATCAACATATGGGCTGATGACCCCATGGAGAGATAACTGTTTTGTTTCTCTCGTGTTTTGTTTTTTTCATCTGTCTTTTTAACAGTGTAAGTGAAGAACCAGTTTTGTAACCTGGCCTGCCCAGGTGGCAGTGTAGAGCCTAGCCTGTGTTTTCACTATTAGAGTCTGCATTAGAGTCCCTTTGAGTGCTGGATGAAGCAGTGATGGATGGGGCTGTCTCACCTGGTTAATAAAATCAGTTTTGATTGCCTGCTTAACCTGGTACTGTTAGTATTATCTCAGGCCTTTCTGCCCTAGATCTTCAAGAAATAAAGCCATATTTTTAATTCCCTGAATTGTCCCCTGCCATCTGGCTGAAATTTTCTTGGTAATCGCTAAGTTTTCTTCCTTCTGTCTCTCACCTGCTTTTCAAACAGGTGTTATTCCAGGCCTGCAGATGTAAGACTCATGTCTAGCTCTGTCCTGCCTGCTCCTTTCCCTTCCTCCTTATGTCATTTGACTGCATTCAAATGCTATATTGCTTTTTCCATAGAATGTTCCTGTTTCCCAGAATTAGGTTTCTACTTGGTGCGAGGTTGTCCTCATTGTATTTGTGATGCCCAGTCTGACAGCTATGACTCTGCAGTTATCATGAGAAAGAGACTCAATGAAGCTCATTGACATGGAAGTCTAGCTTCTGGTGTAGATGATTTTACATTGCCAGAAAATGCCTTCAGTTAAATAGTTAGAAAACTTACTCTCGATTGGTTACCTTTACTCTTGGTTACTTACTTTTAGCCTTCTTATCACTTCTATGATTGAAATGGAATTCTTGGTTATTCTAGATTATATTATTTGGAACAAGTGATTCAATAAAATATTTCATTGTTGAGACAAAAATGGAAAATGGTAATTTAGAGTTTTTCCTAATGGATATAGACAAAAATTTAATGTAAATGTGGGAAAAAGTAAAATTCGCAATGATTCCTTTATTTTTCACCCACATTCCAGCATTCATCATTCAGTAAATAATTAATGCCCCTCATAGATACTTAGGAATGTGATTCTCACTCACCTACCTTTAACTAACATTGTGTTGTATTATTTTTTTTTTTTTTTGAACGTCCAAGGTTCCCCCAGCAGAGACGTGGGACCTTCCCTGGGTCTGAAGAAGTCAAGCTCTTTAGAGAGTCTGCAGACAGCTGTGGCTGAAGTAACTCTGAATGGGGACATTCCTTTCCATCGCCCACGGCCACGGATAATCAGAGGAAGAGGATGTAATGAGAGTTTCAGGGCTGCCATTGACAAGTCTTATGATAAACCTGCTGTAGATGATGATGATGAAGGCATGGAGACTTGTAAGTCTATAATGACTGAAAAAATAGCAAGTATAAGAGCATCTTATGGAGCAGTGGCTCTGAAAGTGTGTTCTCGGGAACCCTTAGTAGAGGATTCCTGTGATTCTTGGGAGGAGCATGGAGACCTTTGAGGTCTAAAGTATTTTTTATGATAAGACATTATTTGCCCTTATACTGTTATCTTCTCACAAGTATGCAATAGGGTTTTCTAGAAGCTGCATGCCATATGATGTACATTAGATTGAATGAGAATCTGTCCGTGTTTTTGTTGTTTAGTTTTGGAGACAGGGTCTCTATTAATGTTGGTATGTGATCCTCCTCCTGCCTCAGCCTCCCATGTGCTGGGATTTCAGGTTTGTGCCGTGATGTCCAGTGAGAATACGCCCTTTCAGCCAAGATTAAAGTAAAATTTTGAAAGAAAATGTAAGTTTCCTTTGGAAAATAGAATTTTTTTGTGTGCAAGAATATTTCTTTCACCATGAAATTGATTTGTTGTTTATATTTTGTAAAGTAATTTATATTTTAAAACTTTCTGGCTTTTAAATCAGTACATACTGACAGAGATAATTCACATTCAAATTATTTGGAGTCCTAAATGATTTGTAGGGTGGAATGATATCCTTAGACCAGAGTGTTTAAAAACTACTTCTGTGTGGCGTCTGTCAAGTGATTGGCCATTGAATATATGGATCATGAAATTTATGATCGTCAAAACATTTTTATTTTTAGGCATTACTCGATTTCTTTGAACTGAATTTGCAAGATATATTTGTGCACATGTGTGTGCTTCTAAATTACCAAATATTTTTAGCCACGCTGACTGAAAGTCAAAGTTTAATAAAAATAAGTAATACGTCTTTCCAGGTCTATCGAGGAAAAACTTAACATTTATAAATATGTTCAAATACCTTTTTCGTGGTATTTATCTTCATAACTATACATTTAATAATCAAGATAGTCATTCAAAACTAAAAATAATGGAAAAACTCTAGTAACATATTTACTTGTAAGAGAAAGGACTTAGGAATCATGGTGGTAAAAGTTATTGATTGGCTTGTATTGGCTGCAATTGAGAATTTACCCCAACTCCTTCCTTACCCCACTTAAAGCAATTGCAATAGGTTTTTTAGTTCTGTTTCATATAGGTATATGAAGTCCATCTGCCCACATACCGTCATCTTAATCTCTTTCCTTCACCCTCCCCCTCCTACTAGTATCTCCCCTCCCCACCTACACACTGTGCCTATTTTACAGTCCTGGTTTCGTTATTAATGTTTGAGTTGACATTCAAAGAGGTATCTTAATGTATCTCCACAGTGAATGTGCTTTACTTTGGTCTGTCAGTCCTTTTGAAAACTCTCCCTTACCCCTTTACCTCCCACCCCCTGTTTTTCAGCAGCTTTCAATACACATCTTATGGCATGTGATATTACTGATGCTCTATCACTCTCTTTTCCTTTCTTTCGTTCCCCAAGTTCCATAGAGTAGTTCCACCGTTACAAATTTGTTCTACAATTGAGTTTGTATATTTTTGTTTTATTTATTTTTATTAGTGTGTATTAGCTATACAAAATACTGGGTTTCATTGTAACATTTTCAAAAATGCATCTAATGGGTCTCTTTCCTCCTTTCCCTCGTTGCTCTCTTCTATTTTAGTTTTTACCAACAAATGTGGTTCTGCCCATGTAACTGCTCCCTGTCAGAAAGGCTGGAGGCCCCACACCTGATGTTAAAGCAGACTCCAGAGATAATTTATGTGGATTGCAAATGGCTGGCATTTTCACATTTGAGTAGACCACTTCTGTCACACATTTCTAAGAAAGACTGTGGTAGGGAAGAAGAACTTTAAATTAAGAACACGTCTGAGTAGTTTTTAAGAAAATTTATGTAATTTTTGCCTGTAACATGTAATATATTTTGGAAGAGGAATATTCCTGCCTTAATGTAATATGCAAAACAAAATTTAAGGAGAAGATTGCTACCCTCCCTCGTGTCTAATTCCTCGACTAAATGTGGACAGTTTTTTCACAGTAATCAGCCAGTGATTTCAAATATATGCAGCCTATTCTTGCCAGATGAAGAACATATTTCATATTTTAGCTGCCAAGCCTGGTCTCCAAGATCCTGAGTCATCTGAGCTTTCAACTCTGTTGAGTTTTCTTTCATTGTTATAATGGTTCCTTTCCATCCTAATCAATATTACTTGGTACTTAGAGATTTTACTTCTATCTGTCCTGGGTGTATATTTTTAAAATGTAGTGCTTTGGCCCATTAGCATATTTTTAAAGCATCTATAATTTATGAAGCCTTTGAACTTTTATCTTGTTCTGGTTAAAATGTTATTTAAATCCCTTTATAAAATTCAGTTTTCTCATGTCACTCTTTTCAAATATAGCAAAAGATGGAATGTATGTGAACAGAAGTTATGCTCTTGTTAGTCAGCTTTGCTTTATTATAATGAAATATCTTATAAAGACAAAAAGTTTATATAGCTCATGGTTCTAGAAGTTCCAGTCCCAGATTGCACAGCCCCCATTTCTTTAAACCCCTGGTAAGAATATGGCCTGATGGTGGTGGGAGTGTGTGACAGAGCAGCCTACTCACATCATGAGCCAGGCAGCAGAAAGAGACTAGAGACAGGTCTACAGTCCCCTTTTAGGGACATAACCAATGACATAAGCCCCTCCTACAAGACCCCATCTCTCAAAGGTTCTCTTACCTCCCAATAACTACACCATGGGGACCAAGTTTTTGACACATGGACGTTATGGGGCCCTCATCTAAACCATATAGCAGCTCTTAATTCTGTTGGGAAATCCTCCAGAGTTTCCCACCAATGTAGACATCTGCTTTTATTCCTATACAAACTGCTTCCTTTCAAAATGGAAAATGACTTTTTAAAATTTTTGATGGTGGTATTGGGGTTTGAGTGGAGGACTTCACGGCTGCAAGGCAGGTGCTCTACCACTTGAGCTATCCCTTCAGCCCTTTCTGCTTGGGTTATTTTGGAAATAGGGTCTCACTTTTTGCCCATAGCCAGCCTGGGCTAACCAATTTTACACTTCCCTCTAGAGTTGGGATGAAGGCCCATGCCACCATACTCAACTTTTTTTCACTGAGATGGGGCCTGGTGAGCTTTTTTGCTCAGGCTGGCCTGGAACTGCAGTTCTCTGGATCTCAGCTTCCTGTACAACGGGAGTAATAGATGTACCCTACAGTGCCTAGCTATTAATTGTTATGGAGACTCACAAACTTTTTTGCCTGGGCTGGCTTTGAACTTCAATCTTCCCAATCTCAGCTTCCCATGTTGATAGGATTACAGGCATGAGCCACCAGTGCCCAGCTGAAATAACAGATTCTTAATGGAAAACAGTATATGAAAATTTTTCCATTCACCTGCCTTTATGAGAAAAATCAAGTAAATCGGTAAAGGCACAGTTCATGACAAGAGCTGCAAAAGACACTTGGCAGGTACACTAAATATGTCACACCTGCTACCACAAAATACAGTAGTTTTCAAAACTCCTGTTATTAATATTAAATTTTACACCAGTCTGCTGGACCTTCAATACAGGAAACGCAAAGCAACTATTGTGAATTTCAAATGTTTGGGATTTGAATTGTTGGAATTGATGGAAAGAGGGAATGGGCACATTGAGGGATTCAGGTGACCTGTGTGCTGTCCTACCTTCTTTGAGCCAAGTTGAGGTTTAGGTCCAGGTACTTAACCTCCTTAAACCTTAATCTTCCTTGTGAAAATGAAGATTTGAACAACTAGGTCATTGATTTTCAAATTGCATGTTGTGACCTTTGGGAGTATGGAGGAGGCCTCCAGCTTCACCCTTCTCCCTGTGGGCACCATTCTTCTACCTCAACAGTTGCTTTTTGAGTCACTTTTATACATTGGGGTTCTGTGTAAATCTTAAATTTTAAAAACATTAGTTTGCAATTTCTAGGAAAATGTTTAACAGGTTCTGGCTCTGGTGATTCAGGTAGGTTCTGAGGTCTCTTGTAGTGTTAGCATCCCATGACCCTACAACCACTTAGCCTCCTCCACCCCACATGCAAACCTCTCATACCATACGTGAGGTCCATGAAGGAAAACACAGCCACATCTGCTCCTGTCTGCACCCCTAGGGACAGGGCTTGGCAAATCACAAGATTCCATGAGTGTCTGTCAGATCTAAGTGATGAGTGAGCTCCTGCCTAACCACGGCTGGCATATGAGAAAGGGAGGGGACAGAGAGAGACTTTCAGTGTGTAATCAGCATGGCAAGGTTGTTTACCTACCAGTGTCGTACCTGGCACATACCAGACCTTCAGTATCTCAGCAAAACTTTTGTTTTTCTTAACAACACAAGAAAGTCCTGAGCTTATCTATGCATATGAGCGAGACAAAAGACTTCTTATGCCAACGGTTATGAGACAGAAGGCCAGCTGGCTCAGGTGGTTTCTCTTTGGGTCTCTTAAGACCATCTTTCCAGACACTTTGTGTCACTGAGTCCCTGCTCTGCATCCTTACATTGGTGGGCTAGTTCCTCAACAGCTTATCCTCCACTGTCCCGCCCAGTGACACTTGGGGCAGAAGATTCTTTCATGTGCTGTGGTGTGACTCAGTTCTAGCTGTTTGTTGAAATTAAAGTGCTGTATCACCACTGAACACTGCTGTGAAAAGAGGGCCATTGTCCAAGCAGACGGTCTTTTGTCAGACTGGATGATCTGCAAGGATGCATGGCACCCTGTAAATGCTGCTGTGGAGAGGGGCTGTGCTTGAAAAGCTACAAGTAAAGGTGGGGATGCCTGGTGGGGAACAGAGTCACCCAGACTGATGCTGTCTCCTGTTTTACTATCAGGTAGCATTCGCCTCCTTTCAGGAAGATGTGCACAGAGGGATGGTTGATTGCACTTGTCAACTGGGTCAAGCCCCTCCCAAGCGACTGTATTTCATGGCTCTGAACAGGCTTGTCTCTTCTCTGCAGTACTGAAATCATGGCATAGGC